ATTTATTGGGAATGATATTTAGTAAAGGTTTTTGAAAGTATTTGAGTTATTTTTATGGTGAAGGAGAGTATAATTTAAGGTTAGAATAAAATTATTGTCATATACAATTTACCAATATATGAAAAATTTTAGTTGTGATATTTGCCCTGAAGAGTTCTCAGAAGAAACAAATTTTACGGAATGTTGTCTTTTTGATAACTGTACAATATTGCCAGAACTGTAAGTATCATAAATTTTTTTACAGTATTCAAATATTAATCAATTTATTTGTTTTTATTTTTAAGCATGTTTCGTGCCCCTCATTTTGCACGATCTGATTATAAGAAAGATATTTAATCTAACGGGATGAGAAATACTTGTTTTAATTTGTTTTTAAGTTTCATATAATATTAACAATAAAGTTTTACTTAATCAAATTTATGAATTTTTATTTTAAACATGCTTCAAAGACAATTAAGGTGATTAAAGTGATTATGAGTTACACTTTCGATTCACCTCTACTATTCCTGTTAAGAACATCTATTATAAACAACTAAAGCACTGTTTCATCAACGATTTTGAAATTTTCCGAATTATTTAAGAAAGCGTAACCTGAATTTGAAATACAATAAGATTTTTTAATTTAATTTAAAAATTTATATTTAAGCTAAACTCAGCAGTTTTTATAAGTTACCATTGCAAATTTTTACCAATTACCATAATGTTTTCTTACAAGTACCACCAGTTTCTTAAGGAAAGTAAATAAAAAATCATACTATGCTTTTCTATAACTTCTTATATCTGCTATCTCTTTTTCTCAAATGACATTATGAAAATATAATCAAAATATAATTTTGATTTGTTTCAGTAAATTGAATATCTGCGCAATAAATACCAACACACTTATCCGAAGGTAAAATGACAAATAATTTAATAATTTAATTTTATATATTATTTAAATTAAAACTATTCAAATTTCAGCACCACTGCAAGACCACCACAAGAAATTCATCTATTGATACGCGACTATGCAAAGGATGTTTAAGTCTTATGCATATGCAAAGGTCAAGGAAATGTTGCGATATTAATTGTATATGAAGATATTTTGAATAAAAATAAGCTTTATTTCGAATCAATAGTAATATTTTTTTAAATTTGGGGTTCGACTCTTTCTTTTTTCTACAGACAATATGTAATTGTTTGAAATTAAATTTGTTAATACTGTCTGCATTAATGATTGGGCCAGAACCAATTTGAAAATCTTTTCAGTATTGTCTAGCCTTAAACCTAATAGTGTAACGTGAAACATATAATGGAATATGTGAATGCGGAATATATTAAATTTTTAACACAAAAATTCATTATATGAAATATGTATAACATAAATTTAAGCCGAATTCATATAATTATCAACTTCATTAACATTATTGATCATTTTTTTTTATCAGTTCAAGCTGCCTTAACACATAGTTTTCATACACCCAATAAAAAAAATTCCCTCATGTTGACAGGCATTGTAAATTCTCATCACAATTTAGTAATAGCTTGTCAGTTTGTCTACATATACATTAATGTAAGTGCATATATCATTAATTAAAAAAACATTTTCACCTATACAAGTTTAATTAATTTATAAAAAATTTCCTACAATGAAAATTTTTTATTTCTAATGTTTCGTATATATGTATGTATATCATTCGCGAATCTATGTCTACAAAAATTATTTGTGGTTACTATTAATTTGGAAGTACGTTTGTAACGCCAACATTTATTCTTACTCATTTCTGTGAACATCATTAATTGTAAATGTAAAATTTTTATTAAAAACATTCTAAAACGCTTTTTCTTTCAAAACTTAACTGCTTTTAAGAATCTATGAATTAAAATCATTGAAATTTTATTAAATTACTCAATATTTTTTTCCAGCAATTGTATTCAGGAGTTTTCTCTACAACTTCCAATTGCGAATGCATCAGCAGATATCTGAAAATTTTTTATAAAAATAAAATTTACTTATAGTGATTTCGCTTATTAAATTCAAGGATTCCATATTCGTTATCAAAATAAGGCAGAGATCTCTCAACACGAAATTCAATAACGGAAAAAAAAATATTTATATTGTTATTATTAATTAAAAACCCTTTTATTTCTCAAAATTTTGAGATTCCTTATCTCTAACTCATTAACGTTGATCGAATCATAAACTCAAGAAAATGAATTTAAAAAATTCAAAAAACATTTTCAAATAAAAATCAATTGAATTTTTCAAAAAGAGGAACTTATTTTTTATTTCAATTCTACCAGTATCCTGTCCCTTGTTATACTTAAATTATAAATTTTTTTAGAAATAATCAGAGTAACCAATACAATGCACATTTTAGTTTCCAAAATTTTATAAGCTACGAGTATATTTCACTTTTACATGAATTTAACCTCGTTCACGCCATAAGAAGACAGTTCGTATTTCAATGTCCGCGCTTGATACATTTTGGCAAAAAGGTAATATAACAAATTTTTAATTTAATATAAAATATAAATAGCTACAGTTACAGCTAAATACGTTGCAGTTTTAGTTAAAAGCATTACCCAAAGTTTTATAAGTTATAATATAAATCACAGTTATAACTAAAATGGGGTAACTTCTTGTTTTCACCCAGTATGTTTGATACTAAAAAAATTAATAGTTTTAAGAATGTTGTTAGAAAACATTAAGGAACTCATACATATCGCACCTTGAGAATAATACCGGACCATCTCTTAATTTATAGGTTCAAATAAATTGAGTTCAAACATACGCTATTTTCATATGCGAAATTAAAGACCGATTGTTATGTACTATTTATATAATATATAAGTTATATACTATAAGTATTGTTTTTAAAGTTATGTAGAATAAACACAATAAAACATAAAAAATATAATTTTTAAGCACATGAAAGACTGCAATATTTTGAATTACTATGTTTTAAATCTCAATTTTTTTTTCATAAAATTGGTATAAATCGAAGTGTTGCTGAAACTGATTTGAGTAAACAGTGTACTATTTCCGTATGTCGCGGTATTAAATTAAAACATTTTCCGAGTTTAAGTGTACAATTTCACCTAATATCGTGATATTGAATTTAACAAAAAATCTATTCTAAAAATAGGCCGAAAACTTAACTCAGAAAATTTTAAATAAAAGCGGCAATTTTTGATATAAACGGTTACTTGATTTGAGGCAAAATACAGAGAATTATTTTGCGCTTTCAAATACATGCCAAGTTAAAAAATTAACAATTTTGAGATGTTGTATGGCATTATTCTCAAGGTGCGATATGTATTTCATGCAAAATTGAACTTAAGAGTACTAATAAATAAAAAATTTAATGTTAATCTTTAATGTTGGTACAGTTTACAGGTCGTTACTATAATAAAATTGGGTTTTATAAATATTAGAAGAACTTGAGTCAAACAGTTTTGAGGCAAGCAAGCAATATGTTTTCAGCATAAACTTGTTACAATTTTAAGCAAGTATTTTATGTTTTGTGAACATTTACTTACCTACATATTAAAGAATGTATTAATAATAAAAATTCAAGAGAAATTGAGGGCTTGTAATAGTTCGTAAACTAACATATTTTGTGCATTAAAAACATATTGTTAAGTAAGAAAAAACAATAAATTGCATGTTTTGAACCTATTAAAGGCTAAGTTAAATACCTGAATGAAATATATAACACATTCTTATTTAATACTGATCAACTCTAACACATTTCAAATTTATGAATATCATATTTTAGTTGTGACACTTGCCCCGAAAAGTTTTCACTCAAAATATATTTAAATGAATGCTGTGTTAATGAAAACTGTACAACAGTACCAAAATCGTGAGTTTAACATCAGAATACAAAATTTTATTTAAAAATCTTTTTACCCACACCTTTTTTTATTTCAGATATAATTTTATGCGTATGCACTTATCACGATCTGATTTCAAAAAGGACATATAATCTTATGCTTTTACTGATGAATATGGTTATATAAATTTGGATTTTCTTTAATTTCATTGATTCAATAAATTTTATTCAATATATAAGCGTAAAAATAATTTGTTGTAGATTTTTATTTAAATGTGAATTTGAATGGCTTAAAAAGGGAGTAATTTACAATGTCGTTAAGGTAATGTACTAATTAAGGTTGTCACAAATACGATTGTATATATCAAAAACCGTATTTTAAATTAGGAAACAGTGAAATCTGAGAATGTTTTTACCCAAAACATAAAATATGAATAACCTATTTTAAACTAAAATCCTGAAATTGTTAATTTACTAGCATTTAAAAACCAATTCAATTCAGTGACTTGTACTGATCCTTAGTTTAGTATTAGTTTTAGCAGAATTTGAAAAAAAAAAGTGTTTGAAAGCAACATTTTATAAAAATTATTATCTTATAAAAGCAAAATATTTTTTTCATACGCCAATCAAAAAAAAAATTCAATGAACAGTGTTTAATCTCACTTTAATTAAAATATTACGTTTTCTTTTTTTTTTAGATTTCCAAATTGTATAGACTTGCTTTCAGAACATGAAATAACACAATTACCAGATTTCTCATACGAAAAGGTTCAATTTCCAATTCCTGAACTAAAAGACAATCCGTATTAATATGACAACTCAAACAAAATATATACATATAAATACTCTTATTTGTTTTTTTTTTTAGAGAAAGACGATATCACGCACCTACATTGCCAATAGCGTCTTATAAAAAAGACATTTAATCAACAAAGAAGAGTTTTGAGACATAAGAAATATTTTATACTTTCATCAATATGAGACCCAATAAAATATAATAAAAATATTTAAGATCTTATAATATTTTATTTATTTAGTTTTTAGTTATTTAAAAAATTCTAAATTTTCTAGATATAATTTGACGTTATGTAGGTATTTCAAAATTAAGAATAAAATTTGTTTTTCCAAAATTTAATACGTAATAAAGCTTTCAAATCGAATTCATAATGTTTATGTTTTCAGATCATCAGAATGTGATGACAACACTCTTGGACAAACATATCCGATCCCTACAACTGAGTAACAAAATATTAAACATTTTTGTTTAATTTAAATTAAATTTATTTTTTACTTTTTAGAAAACCTCGAGTTGAAGAAGCAATGCAAATGCAAATTGTCGTCTACAAAAAAGATATTTAGAGATCGGCAGTCACAAAATTAAAATTTGTATAATTGAACATTTAATTACAAAAATTCAATTTTCTAAAATAAAAAATTTATAATTATAAAACATAACCTTTCTTAAACTCTTTTCTCCGATATTAAATTTTTTTAACATTCAAGGAAACAATAAGTATAGATTTGATGGGAATTTGAAAATTTCCTTTAAATATTTGTTGCAATTTTGTGAAAGTTAGTAAGAGAAGCCTTTTAATCTGTAAGCCAAGAAAAATGTAAATTTGTTTTTTATTTGAGATTCATTTTCCGCGACCCGAGTTATAGAGTTTTTAGTTTTCGTAATAATTTAATCAACAACCAAAGTTCAAATATTAAATATAAAAAAATTCCGTAAAAATACTTTTTACCATATCCTTAGATATGGTAAAAAGTATTATACCGGCCCTGCTGAATTTTCTGATTTTAAACCGTAATATTCCCGGAAAATTTACTGATTCATTTATTTAATAGGAATACAACTAAAGGAAATAGATTAATTACATATCTCTCTGAACATAAAAGAGATGGGGAACCTGCGGCTTCTTTTGGTTTGTTATACCGCCCTGTCTTTCAAAATGAACTTTTAAATAATGATTTCTTTCCGAAATTTTTATAATTTAAATTAAATATTATTAAAGGTGTAAGAGTTATTTCAGCAAAAAATATTTTTGTAAGCTTTTTTATTTCCTTAAAAATCCTTTTAATATTTTCAGGTCACAATTCTGTAGAGGTAGGAAATTACGGCAAAAGACTCTTGACACCAAAGAGCAAAATAAAAATCATACTCATAAAACTGTTAAACCGGAATTGATTCAAAATAAGGAACAGTAAGAATTTTGTTTGGTGTTTTAATTCTAATATTGAATTCGCTAGTAAGAATTATTATGTATGGTGGATTCGCCTAAAAATCTAGCAAATAAGACAGTTTAGTGTTGTGTATTCTGAATTAGTCAAAATTTTTGTGGCATTTTTATTTTTACATAAAATGTCAAAAGTAAGCAAATTTGTCAAATGTCTTTATAAAAAATTTTTATTGCGAAAGTTTATTGTAAAAAGAAAAATGCTACCACTGAGCGGCATATAAATCCACTTAACTCAAAATATTTCGGCAAGTATGCGAATTCGTTACACATAATAAGCCTATTAATTATTTTAAGAAATATATATTTTTTTTCAATATTTTTAAACTTTAAATTAAATTATTAAAGATGTAAAAAATATTTGAGCAAAATATATTTTTCAAACTTTTTTTTCTCTAATACATTTAATATTTTTAGATTATCATGTCGAAGAGCTATGAAATCGCGGCAAAATACTTTTGGGATCAAAGATACAGGTCTCAGAACTAATGGAACAAAGTTAATTGAAAGAAAACCACAGTAAGAATTCTGTTTTGGTGGTTCAATCTTCAATAACTGGTTTTAGTTAATTATTTACGGCGAATTCGCCGAGTAATTTGGCGTAAATAATTAACTAAAACCAGGTTTGGTGGTATTGTATATGGTGAATTCGTCAAATTTTTTTTTCGAATTCAACAAATAGCCTGCTAACTAACAAGTTCAAGAATTTGTCAAAAGTTCCTATACAGAATTTTATTGTGAAAATTTGCTGTGAAAGGAATAAACTATCATTGCGTGGCCTATAAAGAAATTCGTTTTGTAGGCCAAACATAATAAGTCTATTGATTATTTAACCAAATATCTACTTCAGTAATATTTTTGCATTTTCAATTACATTGAATTCTATTTAATATTCTTAGATCACCATGTCGAAGAGCTATGAAATCACGGCAAAATAATTTTGAGATCAAAGAACAAGATATAAGTCTTAAAACGAGTGAACCAAAGTTGATTGAGAAAAAACCACGGTAAGAATTTTTTTAGTGTTTTAATCCTTTATAACTGATTTTTAGGTTTATTATTTACGATGAATTCGCCGAGCAATCTGGTGATTGTGACTGTTAAATATTGTATATGGTGAATTCATTAAGTTTTCTTTCGAATTCAATAAATAACCTGCTAACGAAAATATGAAGTGACAAACAGTATTTCAATATTTTTAGATCACCATGTCGAAGAGCTATGAAATCAAAAAAATATACTTTTCAGACCGAAGAACGAGATATAAGTTTTGAAAGTATTGGACCAAACTTGTTTGTAAAAAATCAAGAGTAAGTATTTTGTTTTGGTGTTTTATCCCTTAGTAACTTATTTATTATGTATGGCGAATTCGTCAGGGAATAACGCGAATATGACGGTCTTGTATTATGTATAGCAAATTCACCAAACTTTTTTTTCAAATTCAACAAAAAATCTGGATATCGTAAAAATGGTGTAACATATACGTGAATCCGTCAAAAGTACTTATTCCTATACTCGTATTTTGATATTAATTTTTTTAAAAAAGAGAAATACTGCCACGGCGTAGCAAATTAATTTTTCTTTATTAAGACCAAATGCAAATTAATTCGCGAGGTAATAAAAATTCAACAAGTTTGCAAATTCGCCATGCATAATTACTTATTTTTAAAAAAAGTTACTTAATTTAAAATTTTCACACTACTTTTCGAATATTTTAAATTGAAGGATTGAACTTGTAAGGCTTTTATAAGCAAAAAATATTTTTCAAACTTTTTCGCTTCTCTTAAATTCATTTAATGTTTTTAAATTAAAATTACGTAGAACTATGAAACCGCGTCAAAACACTTTTGATAACAATGAACAAGATATAAGCCAGAAAACTCCCAAAGTAAAGATGACTGGAAAAAAGCAAACGTAAGAATTTCGTTTTTGTGTTACCTGAATCCTTAACAATTTTTGTTATTTTTTTTCGCAGGAGATTACCAATAATTTCTTATAAATTCGACATCTGAATTTAAATAATCATAATTATGTTGTTATTATTAAAATAAAATAAATTATCAATTCTTAATATAATGTAAACTTAAATTAGTTGTATAATAAAATGTAAAAAGAAAATTGTTTTAAGTGTTCAGTTAATTTTTTAGTAAAGCAGAAAAAAAGAATTAAATTTCAGTTTTTGTCTGATTTCAAGTTATTCGTCTGAATTAGCAACGTTCACCTGAATTATCATAGAAAATCTACACGTATTAAAATTTTAAATAATTATAAAAAAAAATGTAATTTGTTCGAATGGCTAAGAGTCGTTCATAAAATAAGAAGGCATATGACATCCTTTACAGCACGAAACCTTATATTTAGCAATTTTAAAACAACCCAAGGAATAAAATTTTATTCAGTTGAAATAATCATTCAACTTATCTCATAACATGTCATACAATTGCAAATTTATGTAATTTTTCCAATGTTCGGCACACATGCCATATAGAACCAAAGTTTAGACTTCATTATTCCTTGTTAAACTAAGTGGAAGAGAGACCAAACGAGTTTTATTAAGAGTTTCGATCGAAAATAATTAACTAGCCTTAAAATTGCTATTAAAGTTCCGGAATCAACTGTTAACTCTTTTTCAATACTTTTATAAAATTTGTCATTTCTGCTACCTGTCATTTATAATAAACATTTCAAATCATAAAATCTCATACAAAAAAAAAATATTACTTTAAATCAATTTTTATTTTTCATTTATTTAGGTCAAAAACATTTACAATTTAAAATTAATTTAACTTTAAGAAATTGCCTTCATTCTACTGTTTAAAGAAATCTAGACCAAGGGTAAAAAAATATTTTTTTTTTTGACGATATTGTGACTTTCTGACTAAATTTATTAAACTTTCTTATCATAATTTTTTTTTCTTTAAAGTGAAAAGTGATTGATTAACTTTCAAAATCACGATGACATTATCCTTCATAAACAAAAGAAAAAAAAGGACGGAAAAAAATCAACAAAACAAATATTTGTGGAAAAAAAACAGTCCCTACAGGCGTGAAATATTAACATTATGCTATCATTATCATCATCATCATTGTCATCACTATCATTGTATTAAAATCATTATCGTTTTCTATATTATAACATTATATACCTTCACTATCCTGGGCAAATATCACCAAGCCGTCATGTCAATAAAGAAAATATGACTATGTACTTAAATAGCACCGTTCGGAATAATAATATATAAAAGTATATGTTTAGTACATTCATAAATTTAAGTATAGTAATTTCCTTTCTGTGAATTTTTTGTCCTATAATAAAAATATATAATATTCATCGCCTATACATAAACCTATACATAGGTTTGTGTAATTTTTTAAACAAAAGTTGAACGAAACTTAATTTTAGTTAATCATTAACTGAGTACATAAAAAAAATAAGAAAAAGACATTTAATAACAATTTTTATTTTCTCTATAATTATTCATTGTTCTACCGTTCTATCCACTATAACTTATATGTTCGGTAAGTTAAAATCATTTCTTTGCACATTCACTATCTATAACACTATAACTTAGTTTATAGTATAACGATGACAATAATGTCTAACAAATTTTTATTATGTCTTTCGTACTTAATTATGCTCACTAACACAAATCCAAACAATGATCTTTTCTTTCACTTTTTATCTAATACTTTGCATAATACAATATGCAATAGCACTGTGGTGTACTACTGAATTCAACATGTCGTATTTTCAATGGGAATGCGCTTCTTCTTTCTACCTCTACATATTTGAGAGACGCCAATAAATTTAAGTGAGATATCGGTTTGTCCGTTTTTATGTCCGGCTTCCTGGTTTTACATTCCAACATCTCAATTGAATCGCGCCACTCCAGATACGATAACTTATTGATGGTTAAGACAAGGTAGCCCATTTTACATTTTCAACCGTATCTAATATAATAATTAACGAATTTATTTGAATTTTTTTATCTAAGAATATAGAGAATGCTGTCATAAGCTTTCTGTTCAAAACAGATTGCAGAAACAATGCCTGCATAAAGATTTTACTTTGCATTGTTAGAAATATTTTAAATACAAATAATTTTTCCTTTCAGTATGCTTTTTTCTCCTGACTAATAGTCAGTCCAATGCTGGCCATATCTGATTATTTTTTTAACAATTCCCAGATTTTCTGGATTATTTACTTATGAAAGATTGTACACGATTTCAAAAAGTAAATTTACCATTCGCAAATAACTGTACCTTTGCTGTAGAAAATTTTATTTATTTTAGCTATCTTTTCTATAATAAAATATTACTACTTATTACAATCAGCTTTATTTGCAACAGCTAAGAATGAAATATTAATAACGAGCGCCAACAATGTTTAGTTGGTTATCTTGTTTTCATAATATGAAAGTAAATTTTTTTTCAAGCGTAAAAGTATACATTGTTCTTGAAAGAATCAAAAGATTTTCGTAATTATCGATGGCAAAAATATCATGTTTTATAAAACCTGTCCTTAATATCTTAGTGTTCCAAGGACTTTTATATACAGTAAGTTGCAATTTCATAATGGAAAGATATTTATGTAGTTAAGAATAACCGCTTACTTATTGCTATATTATTACCAATCTAGTCGTCTTGCTAGACGAGTCTATAAACGAAATTGATATAACTTCATTTAAGAAGATTATTTACGGAATCAAGAAACCAAAAAATTGCATAGACTGACTAAAAATTAGATTCAACCAATTGACTACCTTAAGTTCAGAAAAGATGGATGTACTCAAACTGAAATAAAAACTTTTTATATTCTTCAAATTCGTTGTGCATTACATTTCAATAAAATATCAATGCACTCTTATTAGAAAAATCTGAGTAGCACATCATGTACATATTTATAAATTTATTAAATAAAATAACAACTATAAAAACTATGCAAGTAAGTAATTAAAAAAAAATAAAATGTTTTAAACGTTTTCTAATAGATTTAATGCGCTAGAAATTATGAGGTTATTTATTAAAAAGATAATTGTTGAAGAAGGCATATACAATAAATCACACAATTCTGCGAATTAAAATGAATTAAATTCAAATCACGTCAAGATACATAACGTAGAATTACACATTTACATTACATTGAGCGCAGAAAATTTTATTACACAAAATGTATAATGTTTTTCAATGTAATCTAAACTGAACAAGAAAATGCTCATTCTTATTTTTATAAAAATATTAATTGGTCAAGAATTTGAATCTTTTCTTTTATTGTTTATAATTCTAATATTAAAACGATAATATTAATTAATGTGGTTTAAACCAAAAAGTCTCACATCGTTTCTCATTGCATGGAGAAACCATTGAATGGAAGGAGGAAGTCATATATGGTTTAATATTTTACAAAGGGCTTCGTTAAAACAAACACGAAGAGATAGTCATGGGAAGGGCTAACATGGTGATCATGATGTACACAAGTTTTGAAGTCAATATTATCTTGTGACTTGTGTTGTAACTTGTATATATACATACAGTATGATTTCACTTCAAATTTTATAAATTGTGCTTAGTGTTTTAGACTGACAGGTCATGCAGGTAAAGTAGAGAGGGGTACGAAACCTTGATGCACTGAAAGTGCGTACAGAGTTGATTCAGAGTAAAAGAGACTGGTGGACATGTCGTTGCGGAATATTTCTCCGGAAACGCCGCTCAGATTCATGAAAAGTGTTGGTCTCGAAATGGTGCCCTGAGTGCATTATGTCCTCAGTTTGTAATATAATTCCTTCTTAAAATATGTACTCATAAGCACTTAATGTACGTACATACATATACATAAATACATGAACATAATCAAAATGATAATATGAAATCAACTCCAAAAATTGTGTCACCACTTGGAAGTCATTTAGAACCTAAAAACTTTTTTTTTCGAGTACATTATGGCCCCAATTTGTGCAAATTTCTATTAATACCAGCAGATCGTTTATGTTTTTAAAATCTTTAATTAAAATTTCTACGAAATTTCTATTTAAATTTTTTTTTAAATCCGTAAATAATAAATATTAAATGGAAAAAGAAGAATTTTGCCATTAACACTAAAATAAAAACAAAAAATTAGAACAATGTAAGGACGCCATTTTGTTAAATTTTTTATTTTATTCATAACACTCAAATAAAACATTTAAAAAAATTGATTATTAAATTAAAAAAAAAGAAAAAAATTTCACCAGTTGAAAGCATTTTATTTTATAATCCTTATAAAATCTAAATAACATGACCTTGAATCCTTAGGGAATTTCAATTGAATTTTATGAATTTATTTTTACATTTTTTTTTCCCAGTTGTTAGATTAAAAATATTACCAGAAATATTAAATATAACTTCTGGCCCGTCAGATACCTTTACATAACAGCAACAAACATAAACAAAATAAAACAACGAAACACAGAGCAAGTATAGAAAAAACAAAAATGAATCTCTGAGATTTTACGCTTTTCATAATCTTTATTGGTAAACAGAATAAAATAGAGGAACACCTATACACACAAGTGTTAGTGCTAATATATGTATGTATAATAAAATATAAAATCCAGTGAACAGAAAAACGCCCTTTAATTCTTAATTTGTGTTGCGTGTAAACAGGAAAATATAAAAAAAAAATATTTTTACAAAAGCATGTCATGGGAATTTTTTTTTTTCGTTGTTTGCAGACGAGAAAATCTCTTTAAATTCCTATCTTTATGCTTTTGTTAGCTTCAAAACAAAAAAAAAAAAAAACAAGAAATTAAAATGAAAATTGTTGTAAAAAAAAAAGAGTACTGAAGATAAAAGGCAACCACTAAACCACTTTTTTATCACCCTGTGGCCTAATAAATATTTTGTTTGTATTTTTTGTGTTAATTTTTTTTTTATTATTTATTGTAGTTGTTGTATATTTTTGTGTCTTTACTTATTCTGGCTTCATTAACCTTGCAGATGAAAGAAATTTTCGCCTCTAAATAATAGAAAGAAAAAAAATAAGGAATAATTTGTTTTTCTTGTTAAGTCGTTTTTAGGCTTCACTTTCCATTCCATTTTTTAAAAGACAGTTAAAAAATTGTTCAATAATAATAT